CTGCTCTGTAGTGAGGACGGATGCTAGTGGTTACTACTTGGAGTCATGATGTATTTGCATAAGGATACAGCTGCTGTCACCAACTTAATAATGTTACCTATTTAATAATCCCTTTAAAACTTGGGCTGTAGTGGTGCCTGGGTGGCTCAGTTGGTTAAGTGTCTGCGTTCAGCTCATGTCATGATTCTGGGTTCTGGGTTCTGGGACTGAACCCTGTGTTGGGTTCCCTGCTCAGTGGGGAAGCCTGTGTCTTCTCCTCCCTGTGCCCCTCCCTGCCTGTGCTCCTCTCTCTCTCTCAAATAAATAAATAAAAGCTTAGAAAATAAAACCTGGACTATACATCAGAAGTGGCTGCCACTGATAAAGATTTAAGGGAAGCAAATGTACCATTTTGGATAGTGGTTTTTAGGCCGTTTTTAGATCTTGGGAATCTTTCAAAAGTCTGACCAAAGCAACTGGATTGTTTCCCCAGTTGGACTCACCATACAAAATTATTGCAGAAAAGTCAGGGAATTTGGAGGACTGCCTCACCCAGCTCCCCCATCCATGGATAGCTCAAGTTTTAAATTAATGATTTAACTGTACAGTTAAACTGGTCCATTCATTGAATCTTTCAACCATTCATTCATGAGCTAGGCTCTAGGTATTGTAGGAAGCCATGATTTTTAACTCTTTCCTGACAGTAATAATCTTATTCAAACAAATTCAAAAGCCCATTTTCATATTGAAATTAAGGGCATAACTTACATGCTGTATGTCTCTAACTTAGGCTTTTTATAGATTTTGGACTTATTTTGTATGCCCCAAGAGATAACAGCAACTACTAGTTTATCATCCATATTCCTCTTGCTTTACTACAGCTTTTAAAAATTTCCTTTTAGGGTGCCTGGGTGGCTCAGTGGGTTAAGCTGCTGCCTTCGGCTCAGGTCATGATCTCAGGGTCCTGGGATCGAGTCCCGCATCGGGCTCTCTGCTCAGCAGGGAGCCTGCTTCCCTCTCTCTCTCTCTCTCTCTGCCTGCCTGTCTGTCTACTTGTGATCTCTCTCTGTCAAATCAATAAATAAAATCTTAAAAAAAAAATTTCCTTTTAGCTATCCACTTTCATCCCTTATAGTTATAGTCATATCATTTTCTGTTGTCTTTCCCCCTAAATCTTTAGTCATAAACATTTCTTTGTGCTACCATATAGCCATCATCTTTTTTTTTTTTTTTAAGATTTTATTTATTTATTTGATAGAGAGGGTGAGAGAAAGAGGGCTAGCAGGAGGGTGCGGTAGAGGGAGAAGCAGACTCTCCGCTGAGCAGAGAGCCTGATGCGGGTCTTGATCCTAGGACCCTGAGATCATGACCTGAGCCGAAGGCAGACGCTTAACTGACGGAGCCACCCAGGTGCCCTAGCCATCATTTTTAATGTTGCACAGTATTCTGCTAAGTTGGTGTACCTCTTAAATATTGGACAAAGGGGTTATTTCCAGTTTTACACTTTTTGGAGAATGTTGAAGATGACTGCCTTAAGTAGTTTTTTCAGACTTGTCTTGGATGTTTTTTTAGAACAGATTCTTAAGAATGGGAGCAAAGATTCATTCATTTGGTGACATTTTTATTAAGTACCTTGTATGTCCCTGATGCTTCAAAAGCTTGGCCATTTCCATGACACTTGATATGCTTTGACAGTCTTTCCAAATTTGCTAGAGAACTACTTAACCGATTGTCAGCTCTTCATTGTCTAGCCCAATAGATCTGTGCTTCTTCATAACTCCTCTGGTGAATATTTAGAAGTAAGCTAAATTAAGCATTATAAGGAAGGCACATCTGAAGAAATGGCAGTGTGTGGCTGAGTGAGAAGTGCATGCCTTTGGAACTAGTTGCTGTCCACACATAATTTACACAACTTGACATTTTTTTGATATGATAATCGAGAGATGAAGTTTTGACCAAATCAAAGGTTTAGATCACTCACTATTCAAACATCTTAAGTTAAATAACTTAGATCAATTTAAATCACTCAGAACACTTTAACTTGAAATTTTTAAAAAGCCAAACCAAAATACACAGTTTTGTAAATATGTCCAAATTTTTATTTTGTGAACGTTTATTGGATGCCTTGTATTTGCTAGGAAAACAAATGTGAATGTGACCTTGCATATTCTTGGTTAGTAGGGAGAGACAGGCAAATATGTCAACAAATAATTGCTACAGCACATGGTGGGCTCTGTAAGAGGGTTTATATGACCAGGAATATCAGGGAGCAGAAGTTTCCATGTCCTTTTATCCGGATTTCTTACTACACAGGAGCACCCCCTCCCTTTTTTTTTTAACTTTCATGGTTTACTTTTACATCTTGGTAGAGGAAAGAAAATTGTTACAGAGTAAGGTAGATACAAATGGTTTAGTTGGAATGAAAACTCAGTTTTGAAATATATGTATAGTTTCAAAAGTAAGTAACCAAAAGACTTCCGCCCTTTTGATTCCAGTGTGGCTGGCTGGTTGAAGAGAAGTCATGGGTTGATGGTTTTCTGAAAAGTCACTAGTTTCTTTGTAAACGGGATTTCTGATAATCATTGGAAGGGACGAAAATAACATAATAGACCTGTGCAGGCTGTCATTGGCCATGGCAAAAGCATTCTAATGTAATGATTTTTTTCTTGTTTCCCAGTTGTCTAAGCTAAAGTAGAGCAAGAGAAGTGGCCTGCCAACTCTTCTACAACACTGTGGTAGAGTCTGACAGTCTGGGTTTAGTTGTAACTGCTGGTTACCATGTGTAACCTCAGATCTTAACAACACCTGTGCTTCCATTTCCTCAAGGGTAAATTGGAAATCATGATGGTATCCCCTTCATAGGGCTGTAGAATCCAATAGATACTGCTCTGTGCACATCTTAGTCAACCACACAGTAGCATTTACTGCTGTTGACCTCTTTGTTGTTCTTCATATACTCTTCCCTCTTAGCTGCTGAGACCCCAAACTCTAGTTCTTTTCTTCTCCTACCTTCTATTCTTTTTCATTTGTGTTGTTTGGTTGTTCTTTTTCTCTCTGGTTTCTAAATGTTGGATGCCTACGGGGTCCTTTCCGTTCTTCCAGTTTACTCCTTTCCAAGGTGATCCATTGGGCTCATGGCTTTAAAAATCATCTATATGCCAAGGAGTCCTTGTCTCTAATCCAGACATGTACAGCTCTAAGGTCCAGATTTATATGTCTGATGACCTCCTGGATATTGCTTCTTTAGCACATTCCTTACTGGATCTCTGGATTCTCCCCCCTCTACTACCCCAAACTAGTAAACAAAGAAAGTTTTCCCATTCCCACCCATCTCCATCTTGGGTAAATGGCCTATGTCTGTGACTCATCCTTGATTCTTTCCTTTTCTTTATCCCACGTATCCAGGCCATCAGCAGGTATTAGTTCCAGAGTAGATTTGGAATCAGTCTACTTCTGTCTCCTCTGCATCATTCCAGTCTAAGCCATCAACATTGCTTGCCACCTCCATAGGCTTCTAACTTGTCTCTTCCCTTCTGTTCAATACAGAGAGAGCTACCAGAATGATTTTTTTTTTTTAAAGGAAAGAGAAAATCCTGTGACATTTCTGTTTAAGATCAACTGATGGCTTCCTATGACACTTAAAATCAAATTTCTCCTTTCCATAGCTTACATATCTGGGCTCAGTTTCTATAGTAAGAAAATTAGGGTATTTGTGAATTTAACTAAAGTATTAGCTCCTGGAGGACACAGACTTTTTTCTGCTTTGTTCACTGTTATTTTCCCAGTGTCTGAAATAGTGTATGAATATAATGAGCATTTAATGAATATTAGTTAGATGGATAAACACATACAGATTATGTGGTACCCCAGAAGCCTTTCTGCTTTCCTCTTTCAGAGCAGCATATCATACTTTGTATTTTCTGCGTTATGTGGAAAGTCCAGCAAAGGCTTCTGGTTCAGTCTCCTTTCTTTTCCCTTCTTGCTTTCTATACATTTACCCCCCTGCTACCCCTCCTGTTTTATTCTTCGCTACCTCTTCCCTCCTGTTTTATTCTTCGTATCTGAGGATGTATTTGGGTCATTGGGAGAGGATAGATGACTAAGTAGGACGAGAAACAGAATAGAAATTGAGAAGGAACCCTGAGAATAGTAGCAACCACATTTTCAAAAGAAACATTTTCTGCAGAAATCTTGGAATATATGCAGAAATAGTAGCATAGAATAATAAGTCCTCATCTCTTCATTGCCCAGTTTCAGTGGTTAAATCAACTCCGAGCCATTCTTTGAGCAACCAGCATTTAATCTGGAAATTGCCAATAGTAAAGAAATAACTAATTAGCTTATAGAGATTTGTATCACAGATACATCTTATCCTGGGCATCATTACTACTTTTTTTTTTAAGTTTATTTATAAGTAATCTCTGTACCCAGTATGTGGCTTGAACTCACAACCCCCAGATCAAGGGTTGCATGCTTTTGTGACTGAGCCTGTCAGGCACCCTGGTTTTTTATAAACCCACTGAGAACAGATGAGGTATGATTTCAAGGGTGTTAGGTTCGGAAATAATCTTTTCTGATTTGCTTTCTGTAAATGTCTGACGTTTTACCATTAGTTCAACCTGTAAATTTGCAAATTGTGAATAAACCTGAAAAGGGAAATACACAAAGCCCATTAGCGGTTATTTATATCTTCGTGTAAATTGGTTAATTAGAAGCACACTTGACCAGTAAGTAACCAAGAGCAGGCTTTGATGGGAGGTCTAAAGTCACAGGGGCCTGGGATGGGGATGGCCATATAAGGACAAGGAGTATTGTTCAGGCAGGCAGGAGGTGCAGCTCTGCCGCTCTCCGGCTTTGTCTAGAGGTGGTCCAGACCACGAGGGCCGTAGAAAGAGGTTCCTGTTCCATTTTGGTGGTGTTGCTGTTATTTGTCGTTGGGGTTCCCTTCGGCTGGCTGTAAACCTTGTATACGGCTGCCCAGGAGGTGCTCCCATTTAACTCTGCTGCTTGTTTATTTTTAGGTATCTTGCAATATATTCAGAACTCTCCCTCCTAGTGACAGCAATGAATTTGATCCAGAAGAAGACGAACCTACCCTTGAGGCATCGTGGCCACACTTACAGGTACTTTGAACTACCATTTGTTATAAAAGAAAGCTCCATTAACTCATTAGCTAATTAGCATGGGAATTTCTTGAAGGCCTTTATTCACCCAGAAATCAAATTAGAGTACATTAATGGAAAGCTGGAGAATGCTGTGTTCCTCTCTCTCTTGGTAATTAGGATGCCAAAAGAATAAAATAATAAGTTGTGGTATAATGCTTTAGTGTGGTTCCTCCCAGGTTGTGGGTCAAGCCAGAAGTTCTTGCTCTTTGATGAGAGCTTCTGTGTGATCCTGCCTGCTAGAGCTTTCAACAGGAACTGAGCTATATTCACATTAATATTAGTTGGATGTGATTAGGTCATAGAGTTTATATCTCATTTTCATCAGCAGGTTCCCTGGGGATTGAATGCCTGTCTTCCTGATAGCCACAGATGTGCTTCTGTAGCCTGCAAGGGCAAAAGCAAATTGCAATAGTTACTTCATAGTGTTGTAAGGCAGAGCAACAACTGATAGAAAGCTTATGTGAAGGACAGTTTTGTTCTCTTGCATTGGGAAAGCCATGTTTTCCAGTCATACGCATGTGCCAGGACAGGTCAAGGGATGGCCATCCCTGTATCTCCTGTGCCAGGACCAGGCCCATCTGGACTGTATTTACTTACCCATACCAGTCATTTTCCGTCTTCCCTTCCTGGTGGCTTGCGCTGCAGGCCAACATTTCCAAAGGAATAGAACAAGGAAATGTGAATGTAATGCTCCCCCAAGCTATCTTTCCATTGAGTTAGAATGTCCTCGGAGGCTGGATGACAACCAGCCAGGAGGGAAGGCGTGGTAGAGAAGGGCTAAAACCTTGTACACTTTCAGCCAGAGGCAGAAGCCATTGTATCTTTGAAGTGTGCTCATGGCTACTTGTTGACTTTGAGAAGAGCAGAAAACTGCTGCGGGAGGTGAGGCCTAAAGGGTGTCTTAAAGTTTCTTTCTTCCCCACTTCAGAATTTTTGACATCAGTTTGCAAATTTCCCTGTCCTGCTTTGGTAGCTCAAGGTTGCTACAGATATACATGTATGCCGTTTCCCCTAGTTATGGAGAGAGCTTTCTGGGCCTCCATTTCCTCAGCTCTTACTCGGGTGTGTTATACATATGTATTCCTGCTGCCAATGCCAAGACTGAGTAAATAAGTTAAAATGCTGTGGCTGATTTCTATTTTAACTGCTTGATTTTTTTTTTTAAAGGTGTCAGACATACTATCTGCAATCTAAGAAATTTTAAGAAAATTATTTGTGCTTTTCATGGTGTATCCCAGATTGACAAAAATTAAAATTAAAAAAATCATTCTTTTGAATAGGTGGACTTCTTGTCATGTCTTATTCCTAATATTTGGCACGAGTTCCTAAAGTGCAGTGTAGTCTGGAAGAAATTTAAAGACCAAAACAAATAAGATAATCTCTTCAGGAAAGTCCCACATCTCATGGTTGGAAAAGATAGGAAGAAAGCTTCAACTTCTCTACATCCCAGAGACAGTAGACTACTCTTGTCATTTGCAAGAGCTTTTTGAATGCTCTAAATCATGATCATCAGAGATATAAATTTCCCCTAAAGCCCAGTAAAGTTGAACTGAGTATTTCAGTGAATCCTTCCTAAGCTTAATAACTCTGTAAAATACAGACTAAATTAATTTCTAAAGTTATGAAACTAAATTCTGTCACCAAAAATCTCTAGCTTACATTGTGTCATTCCTACAGGAGCATTAACTGTTAATTCACCTGAAACTGTAAAACCAAAGCGACAATGAGGAGCGATGATGAGACCTTTACCCTTATGATGTAAAGTCACAAAGTGTATTCCAAAACGGGCTGGCTTCATCTGTGTTGACACCCTGTTCAAGCCTATAAGCCTCTGATCCCTGCTTTAGCTTAGGGGAAAATATGACTTAGACTGGATCAGGTAAAGGAAACCTACTTTTAAAATTCACAAATTAACCTTCATTTGTAATAAAGGTCAAGTCAGTAGGCACACTGTTGTCTTCAACTGTTCCTTTCTGGAGGTCTTTGTGCTCAAGATTCCTGTGTTTCTCTTATGTATTCTAACTCTACAAATTGGTCACCTTTCCATTTTCACTGGTAGGTGGTTTAATACTGATAAGAGCACTCACTGAGCATTCAAGAAATCTTATCTGTTCATGACAGGTCATTCATGTGATAGTGAGTTATTACTAAATTTAACATTTTACTTTTTAATTGATCCAGCAATATTTTTCTGACCAAAACAGAGCACTTTCTCTGACCTTTCCACTTTTTATTTACTCCAGCATTAGCAGGGGCTGCTTCTTCTGGATCACATTTTTATAAGGAAGCACAGCGTTTATTACCAGATACCTGATAATAGTACGCAACAAGAAAATTGCATTGAGATGTGGTTATTGGGCGATGGGGGCAACGAGCCTGGCCAATTGACTGTTTTGCACGCTTCTGATCTGGTTTAAATTTGTGGCCCATACGAAACTACAATAGTGGATCCAAATAATGGATCTTTGGAGATATTTAAAAATAGCAAAAAGTTTGGTGGCCCAAACTTTTGTTTGGTGTGTCTGACTCTTGATTTCGGCTCAGGTCATGATCTCAGGGTCATGAGATCAAGCCCTGAGCCCTGTGTCTTGGGCTCTGTGCTCAGAGGGAAGTCTGCTGGAGATCCTCTCTCTCCCTCTGCCCCTCCCCTTACTTGCTTGCTCTCTCTCTCTCAAATACATACATAAACTTGAAGAAAAATAGAAAAAAATTTAAATCCACAGATTTTTAGTTTAAATACTGTGTGTGTGTTATTTGATCTTTTATCTGTCTTGGTATCTTTTAAACTGGTATTGCATAGTTACTATGGTTTTTTGTGTGTGTGTTTTTTGTATTTGGGTCTGTAATTCTAGTAGAATATGATTTTGCAGGACTTCCATTTACAATCAGGGGATTGTTTTGAGTGCTTTACACTTGAGACTGAAAAACAGAAATGCTAAAAAGTCTTTTTAACTCATGTTCCTTGGAGCATTCACTTAATGTGATTTTGAACAGTGAAATTATTCTCTCAGTCCTTAGTCTTTCTTTCCCTTTAGAAATTCAAGGGAGATTTTTGATTCTGAGGTAAAAATCTGTCTCATAAGTGTAGAGAAGATTTATGCTTATTAATAAATGTGTCTAAAGTGTTTCCACCAAACTCTTTTAAACTGTATCTGCTTTCAAGGGACCAGAGGGGAGCACTTTGCCGGTCCCGCTAGAAAGCCCTGCCAGCCCACAAGTCAGGCCTGCAAGATGAGAATCTTTCCACTTTGTGTGAATTAAACCCCTTTTATGGGTTGTTTGAATAAGGCTGACATTCTATTTATAAAAGAAAGAGTTGAAAAATTAGTGTATTGAAGAAAGAACTATTTTCTAGAGGGTGTTGGGGGCTCAGTCATATTATTATGTGTAGAAATATAGCTTGATGATGTTCAGATCATTGGACAAGAAGTTTTTCAAATTCAGAGTTTCAAAGAGAAAAACGATATTTTTATTTTTTTTACTTTAAAGTAAAATCCTAATGTGAATACCTAATTTAAGTGTTAAGTTAGAGTCTAAAGTCTTGTAAGGTTACTGTATGATATGTTTAGATTAGTGGTAACAGCAGACCCTTGGGGGACCCTGAGCCCTGATTTTTCAGGCCTGCAAAGTCAAAACTAGTTTCATAATATTACTGTGCTATTTGCTGTTTTCACTGTGTTGACCTTGGAATGGATAGTTGTAAAAGCATTGGTGGTTGAAATTGCTGCTGCCTTAGCACAAATCAAGATGGTTGTGGCAAATTGGCTTTGTAATCATATTCTTTACTGCCGTGGGCTGACAATTAAAAAAAAAAAAAACGCAATTTCATTTAAAAATGTTCTTGGAAAAGCAATAAAAATTATGAAATTAAATATTAAATCTTGACCTATGAATACACAATTTAAAACATACTCTTTGTAACAAAGAGGGAAATGGAAGTATGCCCAAAGCCCAGTGACTACATACTGAAGTTTATCAATTTGTCTTGTGCTAAAGCATTTATGTGATTGTTTGAGCTACCAGCTAAACTAGCAGGTTTTTCATGAAGTATTTTTACTGGAAGGAATGTCTGGCAAACTAGTTCTGTCTTGGGTATTTGGTGGGTGTTTTCTTGAAAATAGACAAAACAACTGATAAAATTAGAGCATTCAAGCAAAATTTAGAATTGTAATTTTGGAAAACTCTTACTTTCTGCTGTCACCTTGAACGTTATCATTTATCAAAACTTCGACTTTTTGATAAAATTGGAGATTTTAAGGAATAGGACTTTGGATACTATATAATAAAACTTGTCAGCATTTGAAAAATCTGTATAACTCGGTGAACCAGTATTTTCCAGTTGGCCAGTGAATGATGTTAGGAAACCATGCATGGGTAAAAATCCTTTAGAAATTCAAGACAGTTGGAATTGAGTGTTTACAGAGTATGAAAAATTCATTGATTTTGGCTTCAGATGCTGCATTGCAACTTCTGTTTAAGAAACTCAAGTTTTGGTGTAGTATCAAAGAAGAATTTTCACAATTATGTGAAAAGACTATGAAAATACTCATCCTTTTTCATACTGTTAGATCTGCATGAGGCTTGATTTCTTTATATACTTCCACCAAAACAGTATATTGTAACGGATTGAATATGGAAGCAGACAATAATCTGTTTTCTAATACTCAAAGAGATTTTTCAAAAATAAGAAAAATAATGCTTCTTAGTAATTCTTTTTGGAAAATAAAGTTATTTCCCACAAAAATAAAGTTATTTCCCACATTAACATATGTTAATATGTAATATATTTTATTGCTTTAAAATGAAATAGTAAGTATGTATTTTAAATTTTCTCAGGCTGTGTTTCTGACTTTACATATGTAAAAATATATATATTTTTATGTATATATGTTATATATACAAAAGGTTTGGAATCTTCAACAATTTTTAAATGTAAAGGAACAAGACTGAAAGGTTTGAGAACACTGTTTTTAGGCAAAAGTGATAATGGTGTTGTGTGTTAGTCACTGTGCATAGTGCTTTATATATATTATCACATTTAATCTTAGGGATTGTCATTCCCTGTTATTCAGGTGAAGAAACAGTCTTAGAGAAATGAACTTGCCTGGGGTTACACAGTTAGTAAGGGACAGAGCTAGACTTCCAACCCAGTGCCTGTCTGTTTCTTGTTAAAAGTTCTCTTTTTAACAAGATGGGATTGGGAGGGAGACAAACCATAAGAGAATCTCACAAACAAACTGAGGGTTGTGGCGGCAGGGAGGGACAGGGGTGTGGGGTTATGGACATTGGGGAGGGTATGTGCTATGGTGAGTGCTGTGAAGTATAAACCTGGTGATTCGATTTGTAGACCTGTACCCCTGGGGCTAGTAATACATTATATGTTAATTTAAAAAAAGATTAATCAATTACCTAAAAAAAAAAGTTCTGTTTTTTATATACTGTTCTATACTCCACCAGGATCTAATGTATACTTTAACATAGATTTATTTTGCAAAGAGCATAAACAGTGATCTTCTACTGTTTACCAGGATGATTATTTTAGATTGACTCTACAGATGAGGATATTTTTATTCCTTGCAGATGAGAGTATTCTGATAAACTATCATGTATTGGGTAGAGGAGTGTAAATTGCCATACATTTTCTGAAAGGAGATTTAGCAGTGGGTGTTGAAAATCCTAAAATGTTTGGATATGTTTTGCCCTAACAATTCACTTGTAGAAATATTTCCTTGTGAAATAATTGAGCAAATGCACCCTGATGTATATTACATAATACACATTGTGGCATAATTTGATGTAGAAGTAAATCAGAAACTATTTAGATGTCCAAACATTTGGTTAAATCGATTATGAATAATGGAATTATTCATTATAAATTATGTATAATGGCCTACTTGTAGCTACTAAGAATGATAGCTTAGATATTATTGACATCAATTGTATGTTTAGATGGTAAAAGTAACTTGAAAACTATATAAAAATATAGTTCATTGATATGTTGCAGAAATATAGAAAAAATCAGGAGGTTCATACATTAAATTGTTAACAGTGGTTATAAATGGTGAGGCAGTGGGGGATTTTTATTTGCTTTGTTTGGCTGTATTTTCAGATTTTTAATTTAAAAAGTTAAAAAACATAATAGCAACTATGAGCCACAAGAAGGGCTAGCATAGTTTATAACTGATGTTAAAACTCAATTTTCTAAGCCCTGTCAGCTTTAGTGTTACAGGCTTTTTATGTTTTTTTTGATACTACGCTCAGTGAATTATAATTTGAAATTAACTATAATCTGTTTGTTGCAGCTTGTATATGAATTTTTCATACGATTTTTGGAAAGCCAAGAATTCCAACCCAGCATTGCCAAAAAATACATAGATCAGAAATTTGTATTACAGGTAAGCAAAGCAGAGAAAGTTTCATGGTTGCATATATTCGTTATTCAGTTGTAACACTTTACCTTTCTCTTCGTTGTTTAAAAATCTTTCCGCAGTGGTTATATCACCTTTTAAACAAATACTGTATACATAAGTTAGTTCCATTATTGCACGTTAAAAGTAATAGGTACTTTTTCAACTTATTGTTAATTTATTGATGGAAATTAATTTCGTTTTAAACAACAACGAATGATAATGCCTAAATCTCTGCAGTTTCTTAAAATTTAATAATAAAGGAATTTCATTTATAGGACCTCTAGTTTGTGTGAATCTTTCTGTAGCCTGAAAACTCCTATTTGCATAAAAGGACTCTTAAGGAACTGTTGCGTAGATCTGTTAAAACTGAATAAGCATGGTCGAGAGCATAAATAACCTTCAGCGAATGAAGTCAGATACTAATGAGCTTTCACAGCTAGGAAATAGCACTGCTTAATACCTTAAAATTCCTCTAACGTGATTAACTCTCACCCATCTGTTTGGAGCTTCTCGGGGTGTGTATTCTTCTTGATTTGCCATTTTATATTTTATAACAATAGACCACATCTTCCTTTTTACCTGGAACTTGGGAATGTTCATGACATTGAATTTTTAGGTAACACCTTCTTGGTCCTGTTGTTGACATTCATCTATAAAAATCGGTACTTGAGCCAACGGGTGTATGGGGTATTGTAGCTCCTTTTTAAGTGATTAATGAACACCTCATGTTGATAAGAATAAATATCTATCTCCTAGTGAGCCAGTAAGCAGAACTTCAAAGTTCAAATATTACTTTGGCCAGAAGTTGGTCTTCTGTGTCTTACCTGGATAAAGATTGATAACATTTGTGATGACCTCATTTCCCCTCCTTAATTCAATTAATAAATTTAGAATTTGGGATGTGTTCGGTTGAGAGGCTTTGGAAAAGTGAGGTTTTAGCAAAGAGGCTTTGGAAAAAGAGAGGTAGGTAAATAGGTGGTTACATGGAACATTGGGTAAATAGGTCAACTGATCCAGATTTTTATACCAAGAAGGCAAAATGCATTTCAGACAAAAAAGCAACACGTAACAGGTCTGTGTTTTATATTGGAAAGTCCTTGCATTTATAAAGCACTCCGTAATTGTCAGGGCATCTTTGTATGCATTATTTTCATTCATACCATAATCTAAAACAGACACAGCTAAATTTCAGGCCCACTTTGTAGATGAATAAACTGATGTCTAGAAACTTCTTCAGGTTTTCCCAAGCACATTTCCTGTTCTGGTTTTCTATCCATTGTATCATGATGTCTCCTTGTGATTCCCCTCACTGTAACTTGGAATGACTTCAAGGACTAGCCCTCACTTCTCAACACTAATGAAATATTAAAGTTCCTTTATATTTATGGTAAATTAAAATTCCCAAGAAGATCAGATAGTGAAGGCTGTGTTTAATTTACATGGAAACAGTAAGGACTAGGATCTCAGGATGAAGCCAGTGCTTTTTTTACGTGAAAAGCATGCTAGGCCCAGCCCAGCTCACTGTGTTCTTCGTGGTTGATGGGTACTGGTGATAATAAAGCTTATAAGCTTAAAACATCAGAGAAACCCAGACTTGAAAAGGGGTGTTCTGGGTTGTCTGTTCTAGTTCTTCACCCAATGAGTTAGTCTCTTGAGACCCTGAGAAGGGGTGACTCCCATTTACTCTTTTTTAGTGAGGAAAGACCACGTATCTGGGCAGATTGTTCTGTTTTTTTTTTTTTTATTAGAAAGTTCTTTATGTTGAACCTCCCTATACCTTGTACCCTTTGGCCTTATTTTCCCAGACTAGTCCTTTAGTGTTCACTAGTTTGGACATAACGTTTCAGGTCTTAGAACACAGCACTTATGTTTACCTCTTGGCTTTTTCCTAGGAACAGGAGTAGAGTAGCAGCTCAAATGCTTGTAGCCTCATTTCTAACAAGTTGGTGACCGGGTGTCAGACAATAGGAGGTAGACAGGTATTCTATGAAAGGGAGCTTTGGCTGCCCCTCTTCTTTCAGTTAGACAACATCCCCCCCACAAGAGAAACAAATCCAGATTTTTATGTGAAATGTTCTGGTGAGCTAAACCCATCTGCCTTCTGGATCTAGCTTAGCAGCTGTCAGTTTGCATTCTCTGCTCTAGACTGCGTCCTTACTTCTGTCAGCCCTATCTTGTTTGTCTGTTTTGGAAATCTTCAGCATGTGTCCATTTGTCTTTAAAAGTGATGTCTATGTCTGAACATAGCGTCCTGAGCCTGGCCGGTCCCCCACAGCTTAGAGTTGGGTTCTACATTCCCTTGTGTGGGTCTCTTAAAGGGCAAGTCCTATTAGCTATTCTTGCTGCTCCATGGTACTGTTAACTTATAAGCTTGTGGTCTTGAACTGATTTCTTTCTTTCTTTTTTTTTTTTAAAGTTTTATTTATTTTATTTGACAGACAGAGATCACAAGCAGGCAGAGAGGCAGGCAGAGAGAGAGGTGGGGAAGCAGGCTCCCCATTGAGCGGAGAGCCCGATGCGGGGCTCGATCCCAGGACCCTGAGACCATGACCTGAGCCGAAAGCAGAAGCCTAACCCACTGAGCCACCCAGGCGCCCCTTGAACTGATTTCTAATTTGCTTTATGCATGATGTTGTAAAGATATGTTTTCCCTTGTTTTTTGTTCATTGTACAGTTTCTCTTTTAATCTAAGTGTAGGCGTTGACATAGATTCCTGCAGAATATCATTTCTTCGAAGCCTTTTGAAGTCTTTCTCTATCTTGAGTCTGTCTTCCACTGTATTCGTGGTGCCTTCCATCTTTATCACATCTTTGACTTTCTTAACTGTGCTAGTAGCTGTTGGTTTTGTCTCTGGTCGTGGATTAAAATTGTTAGAATAGCCAGCACTGGTGACAGAGGCCTTCGGCATGTCTTCAGCGACTTTCCTCTATTTTAGCACAGGTTCATTAATCAGCAGTCTTTGGATTCCATCCTCAGACCTGTTAGAAATTTACTGTAGAATAGCATCATTCTTCTTACATTTTAAAATTCTGTTCAGGGCACCTGGGGGGTGCAGTCAGCTGAGCATCCGAGTCTTGGTTTCGGCTCAGGTTGTGAGCTCGAGCCCTGCGTCAGGCTCTCTGCTCAGCGTAGAGTCTGCCTGGGACTCTCTCTTCCTCTCCCTTTGTTCCCTGCCCCTAAAATAAATACATAAATCTTTTTTTAAAAAATGCTTAAAAATTTTTGTTGTTGTTGTTCATTAGGAGAGTGTAGAGACTGTCAGACGCTCTGGTAGAAGCCAACACTGTGTCTTTACAGCATCCCCTTATCTATGCCTTGAGACTTTCTCATAAAAAGGAAGGCCGTTCATCTGCCTTGGGACATTCATGAACTCCTGGGGGGCTACTGTTATTTATTGGTAATTTTGTCCCAAGTACTTACAACCCATGTGATTGATCATCTGTCTCTGAGTTTTGCCAGAGACAAGAAATCAAGTATATAGTGAGTCCTTCTATAGCCTTTGCCTCATTTTTTACAACCTTTGCCTCCTTTACCTTCCCTCGGCTGGGTCTGTTGAACTCAACCTTCACCCCAGGGCTCCCAGAAGTTCCTGAATTTGTCAGGAAAGGGATAGGCAGAGTATTGGCAAAATCAGTAACTCCACTGGGTGGTACTTAAATGTAATCATATGACTAACAGAGCATTAACTATCATGTTGGGGTAAACCTTGGGTGCCGATTAGCTGCCGTTTTCCAGAATACCCTGTTCATTCATGGTGGTAACCTGTTACATTGGTTTGCTGCCCCTTTTCCTACCCGTTAGTCTACTGATGATTTACCTGGAATCCCAGCCCCCTCTAGGAGTGGGGTCTCAATCCCCTATGTAATTTTCCTGAGCTCCTTTTCTGGGAGATTTGTTTCCAACCTGAGACCTGGTTGGCCTTTTGGAACTTAAGGCATTGTTGCTGCGATTCCATCTCGCCCCTCCCCACTGCCTTTTCCTCCTGCCACCACGCCTTACCTGTCTCTGAGCTTCAGCTCCTTCCTTTATGTATCCTATAGCCAGCTTATTCATTATTTACACCCCTGCTTTCCCCTGCTTGTTTCTCTCCCCACAGCCCCCCATTGTGCTACCTAGTCCTGGTGTGTTTGTACCTAAGCCTGGTTTTCTTATGACATGAGAACACTCATACCTTCCCCTCTTGCACGTTGGGATGACATTGATTGCGTTCTTCTTTGAGCAGATTTTTTATTCTCTGGGGATTCTCAAAAGGAATTTTGGTGATCTCAACTTAAAACTTTTTTATTTAGTTAGACATAATTTATTCTAGCCATGAGATTTAAACCTTATTTTCTATAGCAGCTAGCTGTATTCTTTACAGTCTATTCTGACTCTCATTTTTCCCATCAATAAAGACAAAAGCAAAAGTAAGAATTGAGCTATTTCAACATGATGTAGTGGAAAGAAAGTTAACAAGCTGTGGATTTGCATCCTGACTCCTCTGTGTACTTTAAGTAGTATATATTACAGGATCTAAGAATATGTGCTGTGGGGTAAGACAGAATCGCCTTAAAACCCTGGCTTTCCCACCTACTTGGCAGTGTGACTTTCAGCCAGTTACTGCACTCTCTGTCCAAGCTCGAGTCTCCTCATTTGTATCATGAGGTGACAGGAAAATAGGATGTGCCCCCAAACTGACAGTTGTTAAATCTGCTTAATTGACTTGGCACTATACATACAAAGACAGACTCCCTCCCTTCACTTGTAAACAAATACTTGAAAACTTGGGCAGATTTTTTACTTTTCTGAGCGTCAGTGTTTTCTTCTGTAAAATGGCTATAATGGTGACCTCTCTTTTAACAGGTGGACTTATTATGAGATAAAATGGTCTGACTTGTAAAAACATCCGCTCGTACCATGCATGGTTTATAATAGTTGCTCATTAAATACTAATTCCTTTTTTTATATACTCCTCATACTATATTATCTACCCACATTAGCAGAAT